ATAAATAAATAAATAAATAAATAAATAAATAAAAATAAAAACAAAAAGATGAAAACTGGCCTCTCTGGGTTCTGGGGACTTATCTCTCTCTTCCCCCTTTCTCTCTGCTGTTCAGAGCCACCTCCACAGGAGTCTGAGAAAATGGAACTCAAGTCCCAAGTCCTATTTGCCATGTACTTAATGTACGCAATCTCACTTAGCCCTAAAAATAACCGAGTTAAACACCAACAACCCCATTTTACATACAAGACACAGACTGTGAAAAACTCTGTAAGATGCTTGAGGCCAGACACTTAACAGCAGGGCAAATATTCAACTTTATTTTATAAGACTAGTCTGCTTCTCAGACTAACCACCAAGTCCAAAGGGATTCAATTTTCTGCTTTAAAAAAAAAGTCCCCTTATTTCCACAATTCATGTCTGACCAATTCCAAGAGCTTCCTCCTAAACTTGATATGAAAATACTGAAGTAATTATTGGAGAAATTGAGCAAGAGCATGTAGAAGGCCTGCTCTGCCAGGGTTTTGCGGGAAGGTGACAGAGTTCCTACTGGCAGGATGCCTGCCCTCCTGCCAGGGCCCCTCACTTAGAACAACAATCTCTAAACTCTGGCATTAAAAAATGAGCAGCCACCAGTATGATAATCTTGGGAACAACCTGTGGCCGCCTGGGCCTGACTGCCTGTGGAGATCACAGGTCAAGGAAACGTTCTGCCGGCAGGGAACAGCCCAGCCTCCTCCGGACAGGAGGAACGCAAACCCACCCTCTCAAGCTCCCAGCAGGCTGGTGGCCACCCTTCCCATCACCTGGGCAAGACACCTGAGACTCCAAGCTTCTCCCTGGAAGGAACAACTGGGTGTGGACTGGTTACAGTTTAGCCCTCCAGCCCCTGTGGTACACACATTGTACTCCTACAAACACCCTCAGTCCTTGGGAGGGCTCTGCTCACATAGGGGTTTTGGGGAACCTACAGGTGCAAGAAGCAGGGTAGGAAGGCCCCAGGGCAGCGATCTACACAGAAGAGGAACTTGACACAATAGTAACAATTTATTAAGGGCTTACCTTCATTAATGTAAATACTTGTTTACACTGTTTCACCTGATCTTCCAAAACAACCCTGACTTAGGTACCATTTATCTTCCCCATTTAACTGATGAAAAACCAGAAGTTAACAAGTCACTCGCCCAAAAGCTCGCGAAAAGTTAACCCACTCAGGAGAGAATGGTTCTAGGGAAAAACAAGATAGTGAACTGGATGTGAACTGGGAGGTCAATTTCCTTCCTCACTGGAGGCCTCATCATCAGTTTCCCAGACTGGAGTGGGTTACTCTGAGCTGCCTCTTGGTCCCTACCAGAGTGAGCGAGGCGAAGGCAGCTCCAAGCCCTAAACAAACTCAAACTCCAAAACTTCTTGAGACGTGAGCCAGAGCAGGGAAGTCTACAAGGCCTTCTCCGGTTCTGGGGCCCTGGGGCCAGAGGGGCCCGCGGCTTCCTTGTACCACCCCCACCCCAGTCTTCAACGTGAATCCAAAAGGACTCGCCTCCCACCCTCTCACGCCATCCAGCCCGGAACCTCTGTCTGGGATTAGGGACGGTGATCCGGAACTGGGAGGCTGGATATCCTGGAAGAGGGCACAGGCGAACGTCCAGGGGACCCCGCCGAGGAAATTCGGGAAAGTCCCCGAGTCCTTACCGAGCAGTGGGGACTCCTCAGGGCATGCGAGCAGCGACAGCGCTGTGGTGGAGGGCACCGGGGCCGAAGTCAAGTTGCTCGCGGAGCCGGGGCCGGAGTGAGAGTCTGCCTCTGGGCTGGAGTCGCGACCCGAGCGCAGCTCGGAGGAAGCGTCCAAAGGCGGCAGCGGCGGGGCCCCTCGAGGTCGGAGCTCCCCGGAGGGCTGCTCGATCGCGGCGGCGCCGTTCGAGCCGCCCTGCAGCGGTGTTGGGACTCCGACCAGCTGAGGCAGGCGGCTCAAGTCGCGGCCCGCCAGGTAGTAGACGAGGGTGACGCCAAGATGCAGCGCGCAGACGGCTACGAGCAGGCGGCAGGCCCGCTGCAGGGACGCGCCCGGCATCGCGGCGCTGCCGCCCAGGAGCGGCTCCCGAAACCTCATCTTCCCGCCGCCGCTTTAAGAGGCGGGTGGGCTACAGCGGGGAGGGGCGGCCCGCCCGCGGGCCGCCGGCCAGGCGCTGCCCGACCGCGGCGCTTGGGGGAGGGGCCGCAGGGGAAGCGAAGAGGGAGCGCTGCCCCGGCTGGCAGGCGGCGGAACTCGGAGACTCCGGCCAGCGCAACCGCCCAGCGACCAGAAGTGCGCCCGAGGCGCGGGTGGGGGCGGGCGCGGGGCCGCCGGTTGGAGCGGGGTTTTCGGGACTCGAGCGGGAGGGCGGGGCCTCTGGGGCGGAGCCGCGACGCGTGGGCGGGGACTCGGGAGGGGGTTGCAGGGGGCGGAGCCGTCCCGAGGGCGGCTGGCCTCCCCGGGGCGCCGCGCCGCGCGCTCGGGTTCCCACACCGCCCTTCTCCCGAGCCCTCGTCGTGTGGCTTCGGTCGCTACCGAGCCGCGCCTCCTCCGCTTCCTCCTCCTCCTCCTGGCTGCCCTCGAGAGGCACCGCCGCTTCCTGCGGTGCTGAAGGGCTGGGGTACGGGCCTGGGCCTACAGCGCGGCGGCGCAGAGAGCCGGCTGGTTGTTGACTTGAGGGGTTGGGGGCCGCGACGGCGCTCCAGCCAGGGCGCCTCGGTAGGCCTGATTGGGTCCGGAAGAGGGATGGGGAAAGGTTGTCCAGGAAACGGGCTTCAACACCGGGAGGGAGGTGGGACAGCCGCGGAGGGATTCTTTGGGACCTTCGATACCCCTACCTTGGCGGGGCTAGACTCCTCTACCAATGCGGGGGCCCAGCAAGGAGGCGCCGCTCACCCTCTCGCCGCGGGAAAGGGCACGAGTCTACGCTTGTCTGGCTCAGCCTACGGCAGCCCAGCCTGGGGCATCTCAGAGGCCCACCCAGCTCGGTTTTGGGTGTGTGGGTGCCTCTTCTAGTGCATCCCGCCCCTCGAGGATACGTGCTTTGAGTGAGAGGGTGGCAAAGAGCCTCAGTGACTCCCTTGCTGGCCTGCAGGAGAGCAGCCAGCTTTGTTTACAGTTTACGTGAGCTCAGACACAATCCCAGGAAGTAGGAATTGTCCCTATCTCACAGATAAAAGAGTTCAAGGCTCAGGAAGGTTAAGAAGCTTACCTAAGATCCCACAGCTAATGAGAGACAGAGGTAGAATTCTGGCTCCAAAACCTTTATTTACCACATATTTGCCCCTGGTTGATTTGCACGTCTGGGTGGGAGGCTTAGGCACTGAAGTTGCTCTGTTCAAATTTTACCCAGAGGCCACTCTTCAGGCACACCTTGATGCTTAGTGAGCAGGGACACCTCACCCCTGAGAAGGACTCACGGAAGTGCTGTTATTAATGTGGATGGAGAAGCTGAGGGCTCTGGCAGCCAACTGAAGTGGAGGGAATGATAGCAATAACTAGCATAGCTTGGGAGTTTACTATATGCCAGTCAAGCACAAGCCTAATTGCTTTATATGCATCGTCTCAATCCTAACAACACTTTCATGTAGGTTCTTGTTACTATCTCCATTTCGCAGATGAGAAAACTGAGGCTCAGGAGTTGACTCTTGGCTGTGATCATCTAGAATACTTTCCTCACTTGGCCCTGGACACCAGGCTTTCCTGATCTTCCTCACTTCACTAGTCACTCCTCTGTCTTCCTTGTGGGCTTCTCCTTCTCTTCTCCAGTTGTTGAAGTCCCCAGGCCATAGTCCATGATGCTCTTTTCTGTCCGTTCAGACTCCCTAGGAGTGATTTATAATATCTGTATATAAATGATACAAAATTTCTGTCTTCTGCAGTTTTCCAAGGCCTCAGAACATAGCACATGATGTTCTTTTCTGTCTACACACTCCCTAGAAGTAATTTATAATAATCTGTTTGCTGATGATTGCAGAATTTCTATCTCTAGCCTAGATCTTCAGACTTATTTTCAAGTGCCTATCTTACCGGCATCTCAAACTCAATACATCCTGCCCGCCCCACCCCCACAACCTACTCCCTATACTATACCCCACTCTCATCCTTAACCTACCTCAGAGAATGGCACCACTGTTCAGCCAGTTCCTCAAGCCAAAGCCTAAAAGGTGTCCTTGATGTGCCTTTCTTATGCTAAAATGCCATTTCCAGTCCCTCAGCAAGCCTTGTCAGTGCTACATTTAAATCATCAGAATTAACCACTTACTAATTCTGCTATAACTGTCTTGGACCAAGCTACCATCATCTTGGCCTGGGTTATAATGGTAGCTTCCTAATTGGTCACTCTACTTTCACCTCCTCCCTGTCCCCTCCCCAGTCTGTTCTCCAAACAGCATCTAGGAAGATCTTTGTAAGCATAAATCAGATCATGCCGTTTTATTCAAAACAAAATCCAAATGTGTAGGAGCCCTATCTAATTGGTTCCTATCTCTCTTCCCCACCCACATCTGTCACTCTCTACCATGTTCTACCTGCTTTAGCCACACTAACCTAATTCCTATTCTCTGGAATTTGCTTATTTCTTCCTGCCTCAGGGCCTTTGTACTTGCTATTCACTTAGTCTGAAATACTCATCACCCTTATTTAATTCAGATCTCCCAAATGTCACCTTAAGAGAGAGGTCTTCTCAGACTATCCTATGTAGAATAGTCCCCCACCCAAATCTACTTAACCTGCTTGATTTTTTTCAGAGCATGTACCCAACACTATATTTATTGTTGTCTGTCTCCCTCACTAGAAGATCAGCTCCGTGAGTGCAGGAACTTTCTCTCTTCACTACTATATCCTCAGCTCCTGGAATTGAGCTAGTACATAGTGGACACTGAGTAAATATTTGTTAAAATACCTGTTAAATGAATGCTTACGATCATCTTGATTATGTGGGAAGGGGAGAAGGGAAGAACTATTGCTAAGTTATTTTACTTTATTTTATTTTCTCTTATTTTAAGAGAGAAAGCGCGTGCACACAGGGAAAGGAGGGCAGAGGGAGAGGGAGAGAGAAAACCTTAAGTAGGCTCCACACCCAGCACAGAGCGTGACACAGGGCTCGATCTCATGACCCAGAGATCGTGACCTGAGCCAAATCAAGAGTCAGATGCTTACCCAACTGAGCTACCCAGGCACCCCGCTAAGTTATTTTAACTTTATTATTTATTTATTTATTTTAGAGAGAGAGTGCATGGAGGGGGGGGTGGTTGTGGAGCAGAGGGAGAGAGGGATAATCTTAAGCAGGCTCCATGCCCAGCACAGAGCCTGACATGGGGCTCGATCTCATAACCCTGAGACCATGATCCTAAGATCATGACCTGAGTTAAAGTCAAGAGTTGGATGCTCAATGGACTGAGCCACCCAGGCACCCCATCCCACTAAGTTATTTTAAACACGTAAGTTAAGAGTTGTTCACCAGGGAATTGGTCAAGGTGAAGCTGACCTCAACAGCCTATGCCTAGAAGAAAATGCCTGTCCAATGAGTGAGGGTGGGTCTAAATAATCCCCCATCTGAAAACTGAGAGGAGGTGGAGATGGAGATACGTCTTCCACGTATCCATGTAATGGCCCAGAGACAGGATGGAGTGTAGGGAGGTTAGGGGTCACGGACTTATCCCAGGACCCTCTTTGTGGCCAGGAAGCAAGGAAAAGAAACACTTGCTGTTGATTCCTTGGGACCATGCAGAGCCAGTGAGGTTCCCACCAGCCTTATCAGCACCCCCACCACCATCTAGAGGTGCCTACAATCCGTAAATTTTTTGCTTCAGAAGGTCCAGAAGGTCAGAAACGTTCAGAACAATATTGTCCAGCTGTCCAAACAGGAACTGGTCTTAGAAACAGAGACAGACCCAAGGCAACCTTTGCCACCTCTTCCCCCTTTCCACTTTGTCAGGTGGAAACTAATCCGCATCAGAGGAGATACCTGGAGAGGAAGTTGCAGGGCTGACTGGCCAAAAAACTGGAATCTGGGTTTTGTAGTTTGCCTGTTCAGTGCTGATCTGCCCAGAGCCACCCAGCTCCTGTTTCTCCCTGCGGGCTACCTTCAGCTGGTTAGCGGCATTTCCTCTGCGCCCTTATTTGTACCTGTCAGTTTACATTTCTCTTTCACCTCAGTAGATCAGAAGGACATGGAATAGTGCCTGGCACGTGGTAGACTGTTATTTCAAGGATCTGTTGCTGCATAAGATAGCACCCCAAAACTTAGTGTCTTCAAACTAACAGTTTCTTTCTCCTAATCGTGTAGGTTGACTGGCAGTTCTGCTTCACATGGCCACAGGCACAGCTGGAAGTTCCAGAATGGCTTCCCTCACATGGCAGGCAGTTGGTGCGGCTAGAGGCTGCCTTAGAATGGTCGTGGGTCAGGGGCCTTGGCTCTTCTCCACTCGGACCTCTCCATAAAGGCCTTTCACACGACTGCTTGAATTGCCTCACAAACTGGAGGGTGAGTTCCAAGAAGGAGCATTTCAAGACAAGGTAAGAAGATGCAAACCCCGTAAGGCCCAGCCTTCAGCATCACTCATTTGGGTATTTTAGTTAACTTATTGGGCAGTCTAGATTCAAAGGGAGTAGATGTGTCTTCCTCTTGTTGGGTGGAGGAGTAAAGAATCTTCAGCCCTCTTTTTTAAACCACTGCAGTTTGCCCAGTGGCCACAAATTATTTAGATTTCCCCCACATGTAGAATACATTAATCTCCTCCCAGATCCCCCAAAGGCTGAGCCTATTAAGACTTCAGGCTCAGGCTCCAGGTCAAGAATTTCATCATCTGAATCAGGTCCAGATGATTCCTCAGGTTCAGAGTCCCGTAAACTATGAAACAAGTTCCCTTCATCCTCTTTCTGAGCAATTCAGTCCAAAAGCCATTAGGTAGGGATGAGCAAGGTAGGAGTCTAAACCTCATAGACAGTGTGTCAAAGCCCAATCAAATGAAGAGAGGATGGGGTGATGAGTGGGGAGGGTGGCAGCCTTAAGTAGGGTACAGGGTGCAGCGTGTCAAAGCCCAAGCAGAGTAGAGGGCATCCATGGGGGATTAGGGTATTAGGGGTTTCTGTGAATTAGGGCAGCCCAGAACAGGGTGTTAGAGCCCAAGTGGGATGAGGAGATTGTTAAATACAGGGAGACTGATTAGAAGTAACTATATGGGGCACCTGGGTGGCTCAGTTGGTTGGGCGACTGCCTTCGGCTTAGGTCATGGTCCCAGGGTCCTGGGATCAAGCCCCACATTGGGCTCCCAGCTCAGCAGGAAGCCTGCTTCTCCCTCTCCCACTCCCCCTGCTTGTGTTCCCTCTCTCACTGTGTCTGTCTCTGTCAAATAAATAAATGGAATCTTTAAAAACAACAACAACAACAAAACACTAAAAAAAAAAAAGAAGAAGAAGAAGAAGTAACTATATATATGGCTAATGAGAGTCACCTAAGTTTCTGACTGTCAGAGAAGGGAGTTACAAATATAGACAAGGACAAAACAAAAATGAACTCTTTTTTTTTTAAGATTTATTTATTTTGACAGAGAGAGAGACAGCGAGAGAGGGAACACAAGCAGGGGGAGTGGGAGAGGGAGAAGCAGGCTTCTCGCGGAGCAGGGAGCCCGATGTGGGCCTCGATCCCAGGACCCTGGGATCATGACCTGAGCCGAAGGCAGATGCTTAACAACTGAGCCACCCAGGCACCCCCAAAAATGAACTCTTTGACACTTTATTGGAATTAGAGAAATTGGTGTGAATTCATGGTTTTCAATATATAGATAGATAATGAAATAAATACAGGGGTGTGTGTGTGTGTGTATTTACATGTAAATATGAGTAAATACCTGGGAGAACTGCTGGGAGCAGAAACTTCCCAATAGCAATGAGCATATTTAACACTCAAATCTTGGTTTCTAAACATCATTTTCCAATAAAAGGAACTAGGTATTCTTGGAGAAAAGGCTGATTTCAGGAATGGACCAGGGATATTACAAGATGAGCCTAGAAAATCACATACCAAAAAGTAAGAAGGGCTCAAAGAATAGTGAGTATGTGTCAAAATAACACACAAATCAGTTTGAAGGAGCTCCTATTGGCCAAGTATGGAACAATTTGAGCATGAAAATAAATATTGATAGGAACAGTTTACAGCCAATTGAACAAAATAAGAAACCATGAGTTCATACTGATATAAATAAAGAAATGAACATTTGATGAGTAACAAGATATTTACATAATTTCAAAGTATCTCCTCCACAAAATACTTACAATTTCAATGGGAAACATAGAAAAATCCAAATTTTGAAACATTCTAGAAAATAACCATCCTGAAATCTTAACAAATATCAAGTTCATGACAGTCAAGGAAAGACTGGGGAACTGTTCCCCACTGGAGGGTACTAAAGAGAAATGACAACTAAATGCAACACTGTGATTCTGAAGTGGATCCTTCTGCTGTAAAATATTTTGAGGATGACCAGTGAAACTTGAATCGGGACTAGGGATAAGATGATACTATTGTATCAGTGTTAATTTCCTGATTTTGATGGTTGTATTGTGGTTATGTTAGAAATATACATATGAGATTTGGAGGGTAATATGACATCATGTCAGAAGCTTACTCTCAATCCAAAAAAGTATTTGTACTAAACTTGCAAGTTTTCTGTAAGTTATCTACCCTCCACCCATACATCCAATATACAATGGGAAGACCAGGACAGAAAAATCACAGTAGACATTCCCACTTAGAAAGGAGGTAATAATAGGCACTGGTCCTTAGGAAATCTGAGATCCAAGTGTGCGTGTCACCAAGTCCCCCTTCTCCAGAGGCAGGGAATGTGATAGCTCCCATTTCTACTGTTCTTCATGTTTTATGGTTGATTTCCTGCCCTGTCCTGATCATTCTTCTTTGACCAGGTTCCAGTCTGCCTATTTGCTTCATAAAAGACTAGTGCCCAGGGGCACCTGGGTGCCTCAGTCGGTTAAGCGTCTGCCTTCAGCTCAGGTCATGATCTCCGGGTCCTGGGATCCAGCCCCGCTTCGGGCTTCCTTCTCAGCGGGAGTCTGCTTCTCTCTCTCTCTCCCCACTGCTTGTTCTTTCTCTCTCAAATAAATAAATAAAATCTTAAAAAAAAAAAAAAAGAAAAAGCAAGACTAGTGCCTAGGACTGGATGCAGCATTCCAGCTGGGGTCCAAGAGACAGAAGAGAGCAAGATCCTCAGTTGCCTTCATAATTCCAAATATCATACTTTCATAGATGCCTTCTAACACAACGTTTACTTTTTGATATTCATGTTAAACTAAAAGGCAGGGCTGAAAACAGAGCCCTGAAACAGTGGAAACACCCTACAAGTTGACTTGGATCCTTTAAATACAGTCATTGTGCCAATCGGTGTTTTTGACTGCAAAACAGTCACTTACACCACGGCTTGGCCATGACCACCACTGCCAGTGAATACTCAACACCACCACTTCAAGACTGTTCAAGCTGCTGCTGCTGTCACCATGTATACTTTCCACACTACCCTTGCCTCTTAGCATCATCCCCTAAAAATTCAAAGTCCCTGGTGAGAGTGGCTGGGCCCAATTCACACGCTTCAGTCCTAGCTGCCAGGAAGTGAAAAGGAGAACCTTCTTTCTGCTTCCACGGTGGGAGCCAGGGCATTACAGTCCTCCAATATTGTATTATTTTTAGAAAATTATTCCAAAATAAGGGATTGCATATTGAGTGGACAAATATAATGGCAAAGGTTTACTCCAGTCATTTAGCAGGTTACTTTTCCTCTTAATTGTACTATCATCCAACTCATTTTTCCCATTTTATCCATAAGGATCTCTTGGCAGAGATTGTTAAAGGCCCTGCCGAAGACCCAGTTTGCCAACAGACTATCAAGTACATCTCTGTGATCTGTCAGGTCAGGGACCTGCCATAAAAGGAAATTTGATTGCCCTGGCCCTGACTTATTCTGAGAAATCTCTACTTCCTTTATATTTTTAAAAATCTATTCCTGGGTAAATATAGTTTGCAGAATCAACTTTTTCTCTTTGTAATGGACTGGTGTTAATTTTGTCTACTCTTTATTCATTCCTCTTTATGGTAAGAGAAGGTCCACTCTTCCACTGTGTGGTTGGGATAGGCTAACCTCAGAACTCAAATACCATATAATTAATTGGGATAGGGCTCCTCAGTGGACTTATATTTGGCCAATCAGAGCACTGTTTCCCTCTGGCCACAGTGACTGGTTCAGGGATTGACACACGGTCCAAGGAGGCCAAGAAACAAAGATCGCATCTTCCCTCAGGAATTCTGATTGAGAAATATTGAGAAATACTGAGAAAAAGTCTCTTCCTTTCCTCTGGGGTGGCCATCCTGGAGTTGCCAAGGGTATTAATATTAGTTTTCTAGGACTCTGTAACAAATTCCCAAACACTTGGTGGCTAAAAACAACAGAACTTTATTCTCTCACAGTTCTGAAAGCTAGAAATCCAAAATCAAGAGGGCAGCAGAGCCCAGCTCCTTCTGAAAGCTCTAGGAAAGAATCTTTCCTTGCTTCTTCTTGCTCCTGGTGGCTCCCAGCAGCCCAGCATTCATTGGTTTTTAGCTGCATCACTCCATTCTGCCTCTGTCTTCACATGGCCTTCTCTGTGTATGCTCCTCTTCTGTCGACGTGTCCTCTCCTCTTTTTGCTAGGACACAAATCACTGGAAATAGGGCCCACTCTAATCCAGTATGACCTCATCTTGACATAACCAATTATATCTGCAAAGACCCTATTTCCAAACAAGATCTATTCTGAGGTTGTGGGTAGACATGAATTTGGGGCGTACACTATTTAACCCCCTACAGCTATCATGGAAAGAGCCTGCCTGAGAATTAAGCCAATACGGAGGCAGGGATATGTGCCCTAGTATGGCCATATTTGATGGCCCCTGGACTGATGAATTATATGAGTTGGCAAGTTTCCCTTCTTTTCCTCAAGTCTCAGCTTGAAGTGACAGAAAGAAACTACCACCCTGACTTTTGCAAAATTAGAAAATCATTTGCACATGACCAATGTTCCAAACTTCTTCCTACTGCACGCGTCCTCCAAAAGTCTCTGACAGGAATTGTGCAATCCCACTTGGAAGTGGAATGGATTTACTTCATTTACTTCATTTGGCCAGGAAACAAATTTATTTTAAGCAGCTAGATGATTTCTTACAATGTATTCCACCATTATTCCTTTTAATTTTTATTATGAAAAATTTCAAAAATACACAAAAGTAGGAAAATAGTATAATGAACCTCAATGTTTCCATCACCCCATGTTTGCTTCCTCTATACCTCCAACTTCCCTCCACCTCCTGTAGGATTATTTCAAAGCAAAACTCAGATGCCATGTAATTAATTCATCTTCTTCAACCACTATTCTAAGTTTTAATCCCTCATTACTGCATTTGAGGAGTTTTGTCCCTTGCAAGACAATGCAAGGCACTTTGAACATAAAAAGTGTATGCCAGACGTCTGCTGA